TAATAAAAGTTAACTTCTATTTTAGTGTTATTGTTATTGTTATTGTTATGTGTGTAGTTTTAATTAGTCAATTAGTAAAATTTAAATTAATTTTTATCATTTTTTATATACATTAATTATAAAAAGATACATTTATTGCATCTTTATTCTCTGTCTTAAGGGTATAGGATAAAAAATTTCTTCTATTTTTATATATGAATTAATGAAGAAAATGTGTAATTAATGCATTCTTACAAGTTAGACAAATCTTTTTTTTTTCTTTTTTACAATAATGCTATAGTTACAATGCCACTTAGGATTATAAGTTTACAATTATGGCATAGTATTAAATGAGTATGATATAATATTAAATGAGTAAATACATAAAAATTATGAGTAAATCTCTACATCAAAAGAATAAATTATATGACGATATATTATGTTATAAATTTATAAGATTGTATACCATAGTAACTATAGTATTTTTGTTTTCTTAACCATAAATAGAGAGGAAAAATAAACTTATTTGATAGAGGTTATGGTTATTGTCACCTGTAACCACTTTTTCAATATTTATATTAAAAATATTGATTCTATTTTATTTAACTATTAAAAATAATTGATAATAGTAGTTATTTATTGATAATTAAAAGAATAACTGATATTTATTAATTAATGAACTAAAATCAATTAACAAATTGTAATATTTAAATATGGTAAATAACTGTTAAAGAAAAAAAAGAAGACATATTTAGGTGGTCATAACATTTTCTTGGGCGGCAATAGCCACCACCCTGAAGAGTGTTAAAAATGGATTTAACATTTTAAGACCATGACCTTCTGAACTTTATTTAATAAACTCCCTGTGGTTCCCCGTCCAATAAACTAGTAAAGGCTTTAGGCTACCAAAGGACGTCTTTTGTTTTACCTGAATAACCACAGTTTATGCTAACCCTGAAACTACTAAATTTATTTGGCCTTATAAAGTTTCGCATACAAATTTTTTCAAAAGTTATTTAAAACTCACTTAAAAAGTTAATTTTTAAACTAAACTGTATGGTATTTGCATTTTGGGAAATTTTGAACTCCTATAGATATTGATTTAGCATAAATCATAACCTTTGTAAGTGTGAAACTAAACCCAATGAAGCCAGCAATTTAGAAAATTCTAATTCATTTATCATAGATTCATAGGAAAAAAGTGAAATCATACTGTTCTCTAATGTCTAATCTGGATTTGAGCTGCTTCTTCTTGAAGCAAATAATAGCAATAGAGAGAGCTAAAGTGAAACTTGAGTAATTTTGCAATAGCAAAAGCTGGATTAATACCGTTTCAGATCTATCCATTGAGCTCCCACAGAAAACAAAAATCAAACAGAAAGTGAAATATGTGAGCATTGAGCAATAACTATATGGAAGGGTAACAAAGAAGAATGAAGAGATGCATTTTATATATTTTGATTTCTTATTTTTAGTTTTGATTTTATTCTTATAGAGATGAATTTTATATATTTTGAGTTCTTATTTTTAGTTTTGATTTTATTCTTATTTGGATGGATAGAATGTGATTTTTTTTATGAATCTTATATAAATTTTAGTAGCATTTTCCATTCGAAGTTCTCACTTTTGGCACGTGTTTTGTTAATATCTATAAATACTCATTCAAGACAAGATTTTAGGGCCATTTTGGAGAGAAAAAAAAGGTGACAACAAAGAACTTAATATAAAAAAAAATTGACACTTGAAATTTTGTATTATTAAACTGATTTTGTTTGTTTTTGGATTTTTATTAATGATGTCAAATACTATTGTTCTCCCAAAAATATTCCTTTACTTCATATATAGCTAAATAATGCAAGCGTGTCATTTGTTTTGCTCAAAGTAAAAAGAATTTTTTTATCACTTTAATTCAAAACAAAATTCTCAACCATAATCCCTAAAATTTTAAATATCTAATAAATTTAAATAATAAATTAAATCTATAAACTAAGGAATTTTCTAACTAAGCTCTTCGCTCCAATAAAAATAAAAATCTAGAAAAATAAAAGAATTCCATAGACTAGAGGCACTCCACAATGGCAATTTCTCCTCTCTCATTGTGCCGTCTATCTGCCATGCTGTCAATGTACCATGCCGTCGACCTGCCGTGTTGTTTCCTGTAGATTTGGCAGGACAAGGCCATCCACCCCTAATTTAGAGTCACAATATGTCTCCAGAGTATTTCCAGCCTAGTTCTTGTGGCTGTTCATTTCCAATCAACCTTTCTTTTCCCTCCAAATATTTGGTAACCATCTTCCAATCTTATTGCCATTGGCCACAGCTCGTAAAGTTTTCCATGTTTAAACCAGAAACATCTTGAAGGTTTATTGAGAGGTATACAAAGCTCCTCCTGGCTTACGGTTTCATGTTGGATGGCAGCTTCTCTGCTTTCCTTCACAGTATAGTTTCAGGGTGCTTGTCCCTTTGTTTTCCGATTTTCCATTTTTATTACCTTTTTCAGTATCCATTATCGATTCTTGCAGTTTTGGCTTCAAAATTCATGATTTTTCTTCGAATTCGATGTGAAACCATATGTCCTTTTTTTTTTTTTTAATGTAATTGTAACTCCGGCTGGAAGATGTTGCATTCAAGGAAAATAGAATCCAAAAAAGTTTATTTTATTTTATTGGCAAAATGTCAAATTTAGCCCTCAACCTCTACCATTACTATTAGATATTGTTCTAACCTTTCATTTTGGCCAAAATAGTCCCCCAATCTTTTCAAAATTACGAAACTTATTCCTAGGGTTAGTTACTTTCATTAATTTTTAAAAGAAAATCTTAACCAAGATTTTGGGAGATTCAATAGACATTTTTACATA